AAAATATTAGTTTGTGAATACCATAGTGACCGGTCATACCATCAATCTATGTATAAAGAAATTTTTGATAATATTAAAATAAATTTCATTTTTTTCAATTGATTTGCAAAAAATATACATTTTTAATTAATTAACTTACAATAATTATTGTTATTGAACCATATCCCCCGTGCATCGCACGGGCTTAACACTAGTTATATAGAGCGATGAGTGAAGATCCGTGATTCAGCAATGTCTAGTTTGAGATGTATGGTGCGGAGAAAGGAAATAAAAAGATTTTGTCACCGACAGTTAATGTCAATTGAGGAATGATTTGACATATGTAAGATAATAATTGGTTGGTGGAGATAAAATTCTAAAATAAATAATTTAATATTGAATTAGAAGATGTTTAGAAGTCTTTCTCCATCTAGAAAGACTTATACACATTTTAAATGTCGCATCTGATTTTTTAGGTCATGTGACAATAGAATAGAGTAATCCCATATACGGTATACCATTAGATCAGTTTTGCTACGGAGCCATCAGATGGCACGGCTTATGGAGTCATCCATAGTTATTCACAAATAGTGTATTGACACGTGTCCTCCAATAAATATACTTTGGACAGGTGTCAATACATTAACTGATCGATGGCACCATAAGAAAATCATCCAATAGCTTCATAGAATTTTTGACAATTGAAGATGCTCTTAAAATATGCCTATTGTCTATATACTGGTCAAATATTCAAATTTTCATAAGTTTCATTAAGTATATACATTTGGCTAATTATGATTGACGTTATATATGTAGACATTAAGGGTTTTTTTCATTGTTTTATTAGCATCAAGTAGTAGTCCACATGCATAAATGCAATTAAAATATTATAAATATGTGTATACTACTTAAGTTAGACAATGAGTATATCATATTTTATAATTTTGACAATTGGTAAACATGAATAATACAAATATATAGATTGTATAACTTACATATGAATCACTATATTATAATATAAATTGTAATAAATAATAAAATTCTTTGGATTTGAATTAATTTGAGAGATTGTGCCAAACTATTTGCTGATGATGATAATAATAATAATAATAATAATAATAATAATAATAATAATAATAATAATAATAATAATAAAGCAATTATTTGATTTCAAGGTATTTTGGTTATGTCATTATAATTAATTAGTTAATTCTAAAGAAAAATCGCGTAATAAGATGAAAAAAAAATATATATTATACTAGAATCAATATCTTGAACAAAATAAAGTTTGCAATAAAATTTCTATATAAGTAAGTTCCTTATATATATGTTAATGGTGGATCTCAACGGTTATGAAAATTGTATTTAAGACGGCTTAGTCAGGCCGAGTTTGCCCATAAATCAGTCGTGAGTCGGCCACAAGGTTGTCTCATTTCCAGGTGGTAAATGCGGTTCAGTAGCGTGGGCCCGCAAATTTATTGGCCTTACCTTCCA